GGGCCTGCTGTGTTCATCCAGCTCTACACCTTGTTATCTCAGATTCTCCAGCATCTGCAGTTCCTACTATCTCTGAAACAACTTGTGGAAATTCCATTTTTTCTTAAAAACAAAAAACGTTATTTTCAAGAATATCCAACTTGAAAAGATGGTGGATGTAGATTCAAAACTAAATTGGACAAATACCTGAAGGGAAAAACAATAAAATGGTCAAAAAAAGACAGGTAGAGGTAACTGGATAGCTCTACCAAAAATCTTGCATGATGGGCCAAATGGCCATCTTCAGTGCGGTGTCATTCTGTAAAATCTAAATATTTAACGTTAACATTTTTAAAAATAGAATCGGTAACTTCACAGATATGCTCATTTGAAAGCGATCCATTTAAATTTGTACGAAAAGACCAGGATGTTGTCTAGAAACCATATTCCTCACACTGCAGGGCTCAGCTGCAGCAACTTCTACAAATTACTGATGACACCATTTCAATTACCTGCCGTACTATATGCTTGTGATATTTATTGCACCCCTGGAGTGTGCTGATCATCAAAAACACCCATCCAAGCTTTGTTTAGATGGAATCTTGGTGGAAATGTTTAAAATCAACTGTGCTCCTTCTGTACCCGAGCTTTCCAGCAAATGACATCTACAAATAACTACAACATTTGATGCGATATTGCGTGCATACATTCCAATCGGAGCTGTTTTTGAAAATGTCTGAATACATTTAATATTTTGTAATGCTACATATTAAAATCAGTAGCACACAGGAAAGACAACTATTTGATTAGTTGAAAAATGGAATATTTCATCTGACACCGATTTGAGAAAGTTAGCTCAATATTCATAAGAACACAAGAACTAAGAGCAGGAGTAGGCCATCTGGCCCCTCAAGCCTGCCCCGCCATTTAATAAGATCATGGCTGATCTTTTTGAGACTCAGCTCCACTTACCCAAACCCTTAATTCCTTTACTGTTCAAAAACTTATCTAGCCTTGCCTTAAAAACATTCAGTGAGGTAGCTTCAACCGCTTCACTAGGCAGGGAATTCCACAGATTCACAACCCTTTGGGTTGTGAATTCACTGAAGTGTTACTTGGATACCGACTTAAACAGCCATTCTCACAACAGTCAGCAGCGCAATCCTCAAGGCCTGACTGTGTGATTATAAATCTTATATTCCCAACGGTTCCACTTCCAACTCATCATTTCCCTAAAGCACCGCCTTCAGTTATTCTACACACTTCATAACTTACGGTCCCCATTTCCTCCTCAGGGTTCCCCGAAATTGCTGCTCTCATCTGGTGCTCTGTACTCTTGTAAAAGCAAAATACTGTGGATGCTGGAAATGTTAAAAGAAAGAGAACACTGGAGAGAAACTTAGGAGGTCTGGCAGCAGTTGTGGAGAGAGACACACACACACAGTTAACGTTGAGTCCAAAGACTTTTTAAACTGAAGAGAAACATCAACCCCGCTCCTCTCTGCAACCTTAGTCTGCTGAAGATCTTTAAAAATGAAACTGGAAAGCATTTTTCCCCATACAGAAGGATTATGGAAATCTGGAACTCATCTTGAGAATTTTGGGTGTCAAGAGATATAAACGGAAAGGGCAAGGTAAGTATTTTTGTGGTATAGATCAGCCACAATTTAATAATGGCTGAACAGCTTCAAGGGTATGAATCGATGATTCCTCTTCCTGTGTTAAGCTGTCTCTGGTGCACTCCTGAACCACCAATCCAATGGAGTACTGTCATATTTCCCAATGTTGCCGTTCTGCAGCTAGTAACCAAACATCATCAATTGAGGGGACAGATAGCTAAAGACATAATTTCAACACTTCAATTTTTTGGAATTTCACAATCCAAATACTTCATTTGAGAATTGCTTCTGTGTTCAGAACTCAAATCAAAACTATACACCACCAAACATCATGATGTTCACAACCCATTTTTTTTTGTTTGAAACACCCATCTTTCCTGTGAGCCACCTTCTTTCTCGCTCATACAATAGCATGTCTCAGACACACAGTCACTTCTCACCCACTTCTGCAAATAAAACAACTAAAAATTGGAACACAAATAAAGAAGTCATCAAAAACAGCAACAAAAACTGAGCAACTGCAAAGTTGGCTCATCTTGGGGTTTTGGGAATGGACGTTTCATCAGACCATACCCTTCTTTCTATCAAAGATCTCAAGTTCAAAAGGTTTTGCATGCTTTGATATTTCATGTACAACCAATTACATTAAAGTCCAAAAGTGAATTCCTATCATATGTTATTTGTATTGTTCTATTGCTTGAAAAGTCAGATGGAAGTAGATGATGTTTGCAAACAGAAAGATCAAATGATTGTGTTAATTGTTGCTATCAGAGAAGAAAAATGCAGTTTACTTCAATTACTTTTATCACACAATCTACATTTTAATGCATTTAATATTCAAACAAACAAATTTCCAATTACTTCGGATGTCTCTATCAATGATCAGCCAGAGATCTAAGGCAGCATTCTCTGAATATTTGAGAATTTTTACACTCTGCTCTTAAAGAGTCGAAGTAAAAAGAGACGTAGCTTGTCACAATAAGCAAGTCAGAAAAATAGTCATTATTTGAAGTGCCAATTAAATGCTCCAGTTAAACTTCAAGCTAACAACACAGCATTCTCTAATAAAACCTTCACAAGGGATACACAGCAGCTTGCAAGCAAACTTGAAGAATAAACATTTCATGTATACTCAAAAAAATTCTTTAATAATGTGACTTTAGCAATAAATTCACAACACAGGTGGTACAAAATCAATTTCAAGTGTTTATGGAGCTATATTATTAGTTCAGCTTCTCTTTTCATTCCAAGATAGCTTCTGTGAGCCAACTTTAGCTTTTCTTAAGACAAAAACTTTGATTTTCTAGTGCAAAAAAAAAGAAAGTGAGGTCTTGTTCACTTCCTTGTTGAAGTCTCATACTCTGGTTAATTGAAGGCAACAGTAGGAACACCAGAGAAACAAGCAGTGAAATTAGGCCTTTGTTCAACTTTGCACTGAGCTGCCATCACTATGAAATTTCAGGCAATGAAGTGCAAAATGGACATGGAAATGTGCTTTTTGCAGCACATACACATACATGAAGGAGTAAACCCTTCAGTCCAGCAAGTCTGTTCTGACATTTAACTAATCTACGGCTGATCCATCCACTTGCCCACATCCTTTCACGCTCTTGTTCAGCAAATATCTACTCATTTGCACTTCACAATTAATAATTGTGACTGTTTTTGAAGAAGGGAAATCTATCCTTCTATCCTGTGTGTGACTGTTTCCCAACTTCTCCTCAGTGACCTGGCTCTGACTTAAAGAATACAAACCCTTGTCCAAGGCACCCCCCCACCCAGCAGAAAAAGCTTCTTTTCTCCATCACCTGTAAATTCTTTACAAAATTATAAAAATGTCAATCAAATTACTCTTAGAGTAGGCATGCATTTCCATATTTACTGTGTGGTGTTAGTAGTCTTTCATTGACTAGCTGAAACAAAAATAAATAGACAGCATCAGCAAAGCAGACCTAATGTCTCCTTTTCACACCTTTATTTACTACCTTTTCTCGCTCTCCATTTCTCCTCCACCGCCATTAGCATTGCTTTTGTTTTGTTTTGCTCTGAACACCGTCCCAATCTGTTCTACTTGTTCCCTTCTGTCAACAGCATATATTAAAAAAAAGTTTTCCCAGTCCATTTTAGTTCTGCAGAAGAGACATGTTGGTTTTGAAACACTAACACTGTTTCTTGCTCCACAGATAAATGCCAGACCCAAGATTCTTCAGCACTTTAAAATTGTTTCTAACAGGAGTTTTACCTTATTTGAACCACAGTGAACGCCTGCAGTAATTCCATATTTATCACATTCCTCGAGAAATTTACTGCCTACCACATATTTCCTCAATAAGTTTGACTAGATTAGCAGACGTGACTTCCTCTTTAGAAATTCATGTTGTCTTGCCTGCAAGGAGTTCAAGATTTTCAAGTGTTCAGTCATTCCCCTTTGTTAAATATAAATTCAATAACTTATCCACCACAGAGAGTTGACTAAATTAAATTTTTCAGCTTCTCCATCTTGCCTTCCTTAACATATTGACTGAACAGTAGTCCCACAGTCAAAAAACCAGGTACCTGAACTGCTTTTTTTTTTTAAAAACAGGAAATTTGGAAATATAGTCTCTCTACTTTATGAAGGTATTTCAGAACAGCACATGATAATCAGTTATTTTGCTTATAGATAAATTCACATTGGTTACAAAGTTGCCTGTTGATTTGGATTATGGATTAATTAAGAATGGGCAATACTACCCAAGTTACAATTGTGAAAAGGACCAGGGTAGGAAACAGATTGTCATACAAGATCTGAGGCAAAGGAGAACTGAGCCTGTTAAAAAAAGTGACAAATGATTGCTAAACCACTTACCACAACATGGTGGAAAAGCAGTTCCCAGGAATGTTGAAATTTTTGGTTCCACAGCATGTCTATAAAATCATGAATGAAATAACCTGCAAGCCAAGAATAAATAAAATGCCACAAATTCAGGGGATGAAAACATTGGAAATTATATTTATATACACAAAACTTATCACACGCAATTTTAGAACATAACACCAAATGAACTAAGTTCAATAAGAGAAGTTCAATACATCCACATATATTGGATATAAAGAATTTTCAGATTTGTGACTTCCAAGAGGAATATAATGTTGAACTTGATCAATAGGACAGAAGAGTCTTTGAATGGGTCAGAGATCTATAAAGTCAAAGCATATTCAGCAGTAATGATAATGTTATGAATAACATCTATTCAAAAAGGCACTACCAACAGATTGATTGCATTTGTAAGTCACGGTGGAAACCAGGTACAAGGTGTTCACTAATTATATTTTATGGCTGCAACTGATGGCAATATTGGATAAATCAGTTTCCAGAGTCAAAGTAGCTTTCGTGGTACAGTGGTAGTGTCCTCATTTCTGGGCCTGGGTTCAGAGACGTGTAATAAAATTGCTCAAGAGGCTGATTAGAATAATCAATACACTTTCCTACAGTGAACCCTAGCTTGCTAGACCATGAAATGTGCTTTAGAAATTTTGGTTAGCAATTTCTTATCCATTTTCCAGTCATTTCAGTCCCTATTTCTTACACCAATGCAAATACACTTCTATCCTGACTTAAAGTATCTGTTTATCATATTGATAACAATAATAATATGCTTTTGATATTGTCACCTGTCCAGATTACTCACTACCAATGCCCCTGTTAATCTTGTTTTCATCTGCATACATCTCCAGGATCTGTCAGCAGCAACTTCAGGAACTACAAGTCAAAACTTTGGTACGTCAATCACCATGCATGGACTCTGACCATTCTGCAGCCTTTTAGCTTAGAAGGAACGCTGTTTGCAATGTAATTCATGTAATTTACTCTCTTTTTGACTTAATAAGGTCCCGTGAATCTTCCGTTTAATACTTCAGAGAGACTCTGCTAACAAAGTTAATGATTTGGTTTTTTTAAACCTCCCCTAGGGTTCATTGTTTTCTCTTTTCGTGTGCTTTGTAGCCAACTCTCTCATTTTAGTTAGGTTGGAAGTGTAGTCAGAATTTGGGTTTACTAATTTCTCTTGGACTTGAGCAGTGCTGTCATCTCATGTCCTCATCAGTTCAAAATGACTTAAACCACTGGACTCATTGAAAGGAGCGCTCATGGTAAACAGAAACAAGGGAATTCCTTTAAACCAATGACAAGGACATTCTTGACAATACTATCAAAACATATCAAATCATATTCTTTAAAGTCAGATGTCATCTTTCTAATGCTTTTCGTAATTGTGAACGATAAACTGAAGACAAATTGTTTTATTCCCAAACTGTTCATTGTTACAAACGTTCAAAGAAATAAAAGTTCAAATCTTAATCTAGTTGTATTACTTGTTCAAAATAGGGCCATAACATATTTTACATCTACCTGATCAACCTCTGCAGCTTCTATGCAGAGGTTTTGATAGCAATTTTAAAAAGCTCACAAGCATTCATCAGGACTTTTAAGTTATCAGTTTTGTGATCATGTTTTGTAAGGGAAAAGTCCTATTTACTTGACAGTGTAGTTACAGGCTGCCCACCACTAAATGCTGCTGTATCATGCCATCCAGATTCCACTCAGAACTCAGTCATGGGTACTGCTAGGACTGCAAACAGCCCAAAAGAACATCAATGGTGCCCAGACCCAGTTAACTCATGGGTCATTGAGGTGGGAAGAGATTGGGCACCATCGGGAAAGGAGTAAGGGGATGGGTTTAGGAAAACCAGACACAGTGACCACTAAGGAGGAGTATCAAACTTGGGGATGATATGTGCATCCTTGGAAAGTGTGCTGTGCACTCCTTGCTTCTCACTTTTTCATCCCATTATGGGATAGGCAGCATATTATTTGGGTCAATGGGTTTGTTAACAAGCTTAATTGCCACAATGTTTTTATTAAATAGCACGCAAATTGTTAATTTGGTGCATGTCTGCTGTATCATGGGAAACTGCACATTTATGCTTTACAAGTGTGCTGGATAGCTGCAGACCCGATTTGCAAATACAACATCCTGACCAGTACTCTTCTTCACCACCTCCGAACCCTGTTCTATCCATCTTCACCTCCCCAGTGTCTCAAACCAAATCTTCTGGGCCAGCCAATCTGTAAAGCTTTTCATTATAATGTCCTTCTTCCTCCTATAATTCTTGCAAGTCTTCACTATCTTATCATAAAAAATTAGAATTTAAAATTAACTTAACAATTGTGAAGTAACTATACAATTTCAGTGCTAATTGCTAGAAATGTAAGCGACTAGATGACTAAAATGTTTTAAGCTGTATACTCTCACCTGCATAAAATTTGATCAAAGGAAAATTGGATGGTGTATATAAAACAAGCAGCTGATACCAAGCAGAGATAGTAGGAACTGCCGATGCTGGAGAATCTGAGATAACAAGGTGTAGAGCTGAATGAACACAGGCCAGGCAGCATTGGCGGAGCAGGAAAGCTGACGTTTCAGGTCTGGACCCTTCTTCAGAAATGGGGGAGGGGAGAAGGAGGCTTCCCTCATTGAAATAAATAGAGAGGAGGGGGAGGCAATGAGGG